TTGTGCAGCTTCAAAGCTGTAGCTTCATAGGTAATTGCAGATCAACTCTGTAATTGCTGAAAACCTATGCTGCAAAATGGGACAGGATCTGAAATTGTTAAGTGAGCAATTTTGCCATGCATATGCACAAGATATACTTCAGTGCTTGTAAGTCCAGTCAAATCTATGCGGATATCCAGTAAACCAGCAAAAATTATACCTGTGTGCAGCACTGACCTCTTACCAGTTTTGTACACTCTCTACCAAAGCTCTCAGCAGCTGAGCTGTGACAAAATGTTTGGCAAGCTGTGTAACTAATGAAGCTTCATCTCCTCCAGATCTGTGCTTTGTGTCTACAGCCTTGCCTCTGCTGTCTGAGAAGGTGTGAAACAAAACCAAAGCGCTCCTTGCAGTCGACACCTTTCTAACATCCCTCTCCCGAATAGAGTGGTTTGGTGTGGGTCAGTATTAGGGGTGTTTAAATTCATACTGAAATCCTTCCTACAGCGGGGGTAAAAAACTTGACCATCTATTATCGTACAGCCTAAAGAAACACTGACTCCTTGCTGTTAGATATACTACTTCTTTTATCAAACCTGGTCGAAACGGATCACCGGGTTCAAAACTGTTAGGAGGTCAAGATGAAGGAGGGACAATGGACAAAACATAGTTCTTCACGAATTGCTCTAGAAAGACCGACCAAATGCTGTTAAATGCTTTGTCGCACAAGAGAAAAGGATACTTATTTGACTCTTTTAAGGGCCTTACAAAACCAAAACCAGACCACCCTAGGATGAAAAATAAGAGTGAAAACCCCACTTCACTACTAAAAATGAAAAACACTTGTTTCAAGGGCTGAATTTCGTCCTAACAAAGTATCCCTCTATTAGGCATTTACAAACCGCTGTGACAGGACTGGCGATGCTACACGTTGTTTTGACTGATGCTAGACCTATGGAGGTTTAATAAAAAAAGCCCCAACCGCCCAGACCAACGGCGGTGGGGCCCTGCAGGACTCCATCGCAGCACCCCGGCCTTTCCTAGGGACGTCACCGTCCCGTCGGCTGATTACGTCCCATCCGCCCGTGGTGCCTGTGCCACCGCCTCCCCGACCGTTAGGCCGGCACTGACGGTTGCCTGGCAACCGGGCGGCTGCGCCCCTGACACCCATCCCGCTCAGGCACGTGCTGCCCCCTCCCTCTTCCACACCCCAGCGAGACACCTCCTCCTCTTATCGCGACCGCACCCCGCAACATCCGGAAACACCCCTCCGGCCCAGGCCCAGTGGACCCGCCCTGACGTAAGCGCCTTTTGGCCCAATGGCGGCTCCGCTCTGTTTCCGGCGTCTGGCCCCGTCTCCTGGATACGGGCGCGTGGTGGCGACCATCCGAGCGGTGCGCCGGGGGGAGAGGGGACAGACCCGGGTGGGACGTGGCGGTGTGTTCTTGCTAGAATAAGAGGAAAAAAAACAGTTCCTGGAGTCACTCTGTCTGTTGTTCCCATGCCCCTCCCGCTGGCTGTATTTTGTGGCGTGCAGGGACGAGTTGCCCATCGGGACACTTCCAAATCCCTCCTTCCCATTGCGGTATAGAAGAATCCGGCCCGGGGGCGGGGCACGGCCGATTTAGGTGGATGCCG